AATGCTATGGGGTGAACTAGTAGTCTACTTCTGAGGTTAGAAACTATACCTATTTTCAGTAACTGTATAGATTTTTATGAATTTTCAAGCTCTCCTAAAACCTGAGCCCAGTGTTTGCTGTGTAAGGGCAGGGGAGATACGCAGAGACACTTGAATCCACATTTTAGTCAGTTGTCAAGGTTAAAAAAATAAAATTGGCTAACTTTAAATATGTGTGTGTGTGTGTGTGTGTGTGTGTGTGTGTGTTTAAAGAGAAAATACAAATGACCTCATAGCTAGAGCTTATATACTATTGACTCTAACAGTCAACCTGTTTATATTCTGCAGTCTTTTTTTCAGCGGCCTAAAAATGTGTTTAGGTGCATACTGGTTGACACAAGAAAAACAGCACGCTCAATAAGCAAAAAGTTTGGGTATTTTAAGAAATTATGTTGTTGTTTATTTTCAAAATGAGCTGTACAAATATTCATGAAAGTCAATTAATAAAATCTAAGACTCAAATAAAATAACCTGCTAGGAAAGGAGTTCATAATCCTGCCCGCCCCCACAACCCCATTCTTTTCCCCTCCAAAGGCCTTCTGCATTCTCCTCCCCACCTCTACCACCCACACACCTTTCCCGTCCAAACTTTCTTTTACATAAACCAACTTTGTTCTCTCCCCAACCCCCACCCTCCAACTTTGTCACTTCTCCATCCTTTTAAAAATAAGTCAGAATTGACAAGCCAAATTCTTTTATGAAGAAAGCCAACAGCAGTGATTTATCCAAAACAGAGGCAAGAAGGTGATTATCAGCTAAAAAGATATATTTAAGACAACAATTGTTTAAGCCTTTCTTTAGGTTACTCTTAACAGGGGTTTGTGCCAAAGCAACTTCATTCAAATTCACTCTGTGTGGGCGCTCGGCTTCAAGAGCGTCTGTAAATGCTGTCCAGAGCCGAACTGAAGGCTTTTTTTGCAATCCGAGTTCAGAGGACAAGGATCTGATAACTTGTTCACTAAAACATGCATTCGAGGTTAGACAACTGTGTAAAGTTCAACAATCTATAGCTTACTTGTACACGCAACTGAAAGCATCGTTAAACAAAGCAAAATAGAACCCACTTTATTAACGCCTGGGACAGATGCAAAGCAAAAAGACCGTCACCAGTGCTGAAAAGTCCCTCCTCCACATTTCCCTCTCCCTTCAGGCACTTTCCCTTTATCCCCAGGTTACTGAGAAGGGAAAGGACTGACGGGAATTAAGGTTTTAGAGGAAAGATGGGAGAGCAAACGAGGGAGCACAAGGTGGCAAAGTACCAAGGGGACGGAATGAAAATAAATGTGAAAGGGTGAAACAACGTGAAAGTTAGGTTACACGTGGAGTGGGAGAAGGTGACCGACCGCCCATCTGCGCTCCCACAAGGATACAAATAAGCTAACATCCTAAAAATAGATACACAGTGCACCAGAGATACAAGGGCCGGGCTAGAGGAGGCTTTCTGATGGAGGAGATGAGAGATGGTGGTCCTTTCGCTTCAGCCTTACCTCGTTGGACAAAATGCTTCCGTTGGAGATGATATCGGGCTGCTGGTCGGTGTAACCCGTGACTATGGCCCCGCAGGGGTTGTGCTCAGTGTCCGTACTCCGCGAAGGGCTGCAGGGCTTAAGAAACATCAGGTCGGTCTTGGCGGACTCAGGGGTCAGGCAGACCTGGTAGCAGTAATTCTGGTTGTGGTGGTGGGAGCCAAAGCCCCCGGACTCCTCCACAGGCACCTGGGCCGGGTTACTGGGTACATTGGAGCTCTGCACCAGCATGATGTCCGACTTGCTGAGTTTCTTCTTGCGCGCCCGGGCTTGGCGGCCACAGCAGGTCGAACCTCCGCCACCGCAGCAGCAGCAGCAGAGGCAGCAATCACTGGCCAGACAAGTGTAGATGTTGAGCTTCTTCTCTTTTTGGCAACGCACGGCCAACACGATCATGGCCAGCAGGAAGATGAAGGACACCGAGCCTAGCGCGATGATGAGGATGAGGGTGAGGTCTAGCGAGGTTTCCCCGCCACCGGAGCGGCTGGGGCGCTGGTGCTCCCCTGACCCTCCGCCTCCGCTCCCGCCCCCGCCCTGGGGCTCCACGGCGCCATCCACCAGCTGAACCACCAGGGTGGCGGTAGAGGACAGGGGCGGCTGCCCATGGTCACGCACCTCGATCACCAGCTCATAAGGCCGCTGGGGGTCGCGCTTGGCTGGGACTCGGCGCGCTGTGCGCAGCTCCCCGGTGCGCCAGTCCATGCGAAAGAGGTTCATTTCGTTGCCACGCACGATGCTGTAAGTGAGCCGAGCGTTCTCGCCGTCATCCGCGTCCACAGCGGCCACGCGGGTGAGCAGGTAGCCCGGCTCCGCCGAGCGGGGCAGCACCTCACGCGCGGGCGTCCCATTGCGCCCTGGTAGAGGCGCCACGATGGCAGGGGCGTTGTCATTTTGATCCACTATGAGGATATTGACAGTGGCGTTACCCGCCAGCGCCTGGGGGCTGCCAGCGTCCCGGGCTTCCACCTGAAAGCTGAAGTCTTTGAGCTGCTCGTAGTCGAAGGAGCGCAGGGCGTACAAGTAGCCGTTCTCAGAGTTGATAGACACGTAGGTGAAGACGCTCATGCCCTGGATCTGGCACTCGAGGATAGAGTAGGCAAGCTGGGCGTTGGCGCCCTCGTCGCGGTCGGTGGCGCTCACCGCGTAGATGTAGGCGCCAGGCACGTTGTTCTCAGTCACATACACGTCGTAGACCGGCTGGCTGAAGCGCGGCGCGTTGTCGTTCACATCCGACACTTGCACCTGGATCGACTTACTGGTGGAGAGCGCAGGCTCGCCTCGGTCCCGGGCCACCACAGTCAGGGTGTAGGAGTCCCCCGCCTCTCGGTCCAGGGGAGCTTCGGTAACGATGGTGTAGTAATTCTTAAAGGAAGACTTGAGGCGGAACGGCACGTCTCCCAGCAGCTCGCACTGCACCTGCCCGTTCTCCTCTGAGTCGCGGTCGGTCACGCTGAAAAGGGCCACCACAGTGCCGGGCGCCGCGCCCTCGCTCACCGCCTCCTTCACGGTGCTGAAGCTGATCTCTGGCGCGTTGTCGTTGGCATCCAGTACTCGCACTAGCACCTTGCAGTGCGCAGGCACGGCGTTGGGGCCCAGGTCCTTGGCTTGCACGTACACTTGGTACACCGGGCTCTCTTCATAGTCCAACTCGCCGCTTACCTCCAGTCGGCCAGTGCGCGGCGAGAGTCCGAAAAGCTCCCGTGCCCGGGGCGAAATGTGGCTGCTGAAGGAGTACACGACCTCACCGTTCTGGCCCTCGTCCGGGTCCGTGGCATTGAGCTGGATCACGAGAGTGCCTGGGGGCGAGTTCTCTGGTAGGGACACAGTGTAGACGGGTTGGTCGAAAGCGGGCACATTGTCGTTGGAGTCCAGCACTCGGATGGTGAGTAGGGCCGTGCCGGTGCGCTGCTGCTGGGGGGGCAGGCCGGCTCCCCTGCCACCTCCCCCTCCTTCTCCTCCTCCTCCCCCTCCTCCCCCGTCCACCGCGGTCAGCACGTAGCGGTGCACCGCTTGCTGCTCTCGGTCCAGTGGTTTCTCCAGCACCAGCTCAGCGAATCGGTTGCCATCCCCCTGGGTCTGCACGTCCAGGGAGAAGTAGCTGTTCGGGGTGATCTCGTAGTCGCGCAAGGAGTTGGTGCCCACGTCTGGGTCGAATGCGCTCTCCAAGGGGAAGCGAGTGCCTGGCGTGGCGCTCTCAGAGATTTCCACCGTCAGGTCCGGCTCCGGGAAAGAGGGAGGGTTGTCATTAATGTCCAGCACCTCGATCTCCACCTGGAACAGCTCCAGGGGGTTCTCCAGAAAGACCTCCAGGTGCAGGACACAGGAGGGGCTCTGTTTGCAGATTTGCTCTCTGTCTATTTTCTCGTTCACATACAGCACCCCAGTCTCCAGGTTGAGGTCTAAGTAAGGGGTCCTTGAGTTGGGCACCGTCTGAAACCCGCGAGCCGAAAGTTTTGTAATGTCCAGACCCAGATCTTCAGCGATATTCCCCACGAAAGTGCCATGTTCCTGCTCCTCCTGTACCGTGTAGTGAAGCTGGGAAAAGACTCCTTCCACCATCCAGAGCAAGGCAAAGAATAATAGCACAATCATCTCCAAAAGGAAAGGAAGTAGCTTCCCGCAGCCAGTCAGCCACCCAATCACCTCCCCCACCACCACGAAAAAATAAAAAAATCTGAAGAATACAAATAAAAGTGCGCTACGTGGGGGCTCCTGTGGCTTTCTGTCTTTAAAAATCTTACTCCGTTTGCTTCATTTTAGAGCTTCCCGCAATCCAGCCTCATTTTTTAATCTTAGCACAGGAAGGGTGGCAGGCGTCCCCTTTCCTCATCTGTAATCTTTCCACTGACCAATTAATAAAATAATGATAATACAACAGTCAGCGTCCTTTATTCCGACAGTCTTGGCGCAACGCGGCGCTGGCAAATCCCAAAGAGGAAATTTCGATATTTCAAGACTGTCCTCGGTTTGTCTTCTTGCTGATGGGAGGAGAATGAGGAGGAAAAAGAGGAGTAGGAGGAGGAAGAAGAAGAAGAGGAAGAGGAGAAGGAAAAGGAGATGCTGTTGGCACCGTTAAACATGCCTCTTAATGTCAACGGCTGGCAAATGCAAAAGGGCTTAAAATCAGCGAGAGAATTTTGTGCCGGAAAAGCACAGACAGGCTCTGCAGCTTAAAACTTTCATTCTCTTCATTTCTCCGGATGGATGTTCTTCTTGACATTTTTTTCCTCTTTCGCTCTATTTGTATTTTTTGTCTTTCATCCTCTTGGCTCCCTCTGTTCTCATCTCCACCGTTATTTGCCTCCCTGTAAGTGTAATGAGCAGTTTCTTTTCTGCTGTTTCCTTCCCAAGCCTCTTTCCCTCTAACCTCTTTTTCCTTCCAGTCCTTCCTTCCTCCTGCTTCAGCCTCTGAGCCTGTGGTCTGGGCTGGCAGTTTCTGAGCTCCGAGCGCTCGGCTTCTCTGTTTTTGCGCAGCGCCCTCATTCTGCCAACAAATCGCAGAGGAGCACCACCCACCGGGCTACCGATGATTGGCCAAACCGGCCGTCAAACAGAACGTCACGCGGCAGCCGGGCGGGGCGGGACAGAACTCTCGCCCGGGCGGCCCGGGTGAGTGTGAGTGTGAGAGCGAGAACAGCCCCGCAGGTCCCGAGGCGCTGGCTGGGGACACTGCCGCGGAAAGTTCCCAGTCCCCAGCCGCAGGTAATGGGGAGGGAATAGAGAGGTTCCCCTGTTTGCATCAGCAAATGTGAAAACATAATAGCAACAGCTGCGGTATCCTCTCTGAGGAGCGGGATTTCCAATGATGCTAATTCTTTTTCCTTTAAGGTATTTTCCCGAAAACGGATCATGGAAATTAATCATCGAGAAGGGGAAAAAGTAGCGCAGGGGCCACTAATTGGCAAGAGTTACCTAATTAAGAGACCCTAGCAAAGACTGGCAGGGCATTTAAAAAGTGGGTATTGTATGGCATGTGTCAATCCAAGCGTGAGGGGTCTAAGGGGCCGTGTGGAAAGCGGCGAAGCAGTCGGAGTAGGGGTGGAGGTGGGTCCTAAAAAGCGGAGGAATTCACGCTATAGGGTGTGGGGTGACAGCGCTTATAGACGTGCAGACGCGTTCGACGCGCCTCTTTCCTCCCTAAATATATATTCACAAAATAACTTACCAAGTAGATTCACTCACTTGAGGACCTAGCTTTGACCTGTGAACGCGTTCATCAGTGACTGAGGAGTTTGCTTTGAGCCGCTTCCTTCGAGCCCGCCATCCTAACGCTGAGCTCTCGGACACCCGGCACTCAGCACCGCCAGGCGCTGCAAAGCGTCTCTGATATCCCTGCGCCTTGTGCAGCCAAGTGCCACGCAGCGGCTGGAACACCGGCTATTTTCTAATTTGTTTTTTTTTTTTTTTCAATTGGACATCGATCCTCTTCTCCACCAGGCTAGACTAGACCACTAGACCACTGATTTCTGCGGAGCCTGGGGTCAGCCCGCTGCGTGAGGATAGTGGGGCGGCGGCGAACACGGGAGGGGTGGTGGGCAGGGGCCGTGCATACGCGGGACCCAAGTGTGCACCGCTGCGGGTATCTGCGAACACGTTTGCACATGCACGGTACTTGCATCCATCCTCTCTGGCCCAGAGCTCAGCTCTGTGTAAGCCCCCACGGAGCCTCCCTGAGTTCTGAAGAACGCGCTTGACCAGCTGTGGGTGCCCATTCCGGAGGCACAGGGGCAACGCGGCACATCCACACAGCTAGTTCTTGTGAAGTTAAAACACAGCGCGAACTCCTTAATGCTGGAGAGTGGATAGAATGCCAATTCTCTAAGGAAAGATATAGAAATATATATATATATATATATATATATATATATA